GGTCTCTATATGGGATCTGAACCCTCGGCAGGAGCGCCGCCACGCTCCCAAGCGCTGCACTGTACCGAGTGTGCCACCGGGCCGGCCCTCTTTCATTAACTATTGAAGAAATAGGTAACTCCTCTTTTCTTGAGTCTCCGTAATTCGGGGGCTACCCTGGAGCTGTTTCTTTATAAGTGCTGTCAGCAGCTGGAGAGGAGCGAGGAAACACCCATATCTTTGTGCCTTTTCACTCCTGCATTTTGGGAGATTGGGACAGCCTTCCTCTTACCTTGCTGGGCAGGGAGGCTGAGAGGCTTGGGCCTCACGTTCCAGCCTTAAATTCACAGAAAGGTGCTGTAGTGGACCATTCAATTGTTAATAAACCATTTCATTCTTCTGTTTCAAGTCCTTTTTCTTACAGAAGTGGTAACCTCACTGACCTCATAAGGACATGTTCAGGAACATTAATGGTTGATGAGAAAACATTATGCCCATGTCAAATATGTTGGGTAACCTCAAAATTGTAATGATTTAGCTGGATGGGTACTTCTTTCTTACATATCCAACTTGTCAATTCAAGAAAAGTGCACTGAGCACATTAAATGCTGCTGCATCAAAGACATAGCCCCAGCACCATGGAAACATGGAATCTCAAGGTTGGCAGTCCTCAATCCCAAAATCCTACAAGTAGCTACCCATTCATGATTGAAATGCTTCCAGGGAAGGGGACCTGACTACATTCAGCTTACTCCATGTCTGGACAAGTCCACTGGAGATTTTTTTTTTAAATAGAGCTGATTTGTGTGTGTGTGTGTGTGTCTTCACAGCTTCTGTCCCTTAGACCTAGCTCCACTGCTGTACTGAGCAGTTTTTATGGGCCAGGTACTGTTTCAGATGATTTTCATGCATTTAATAATTTAGTCCCCACGTTAATCACATGAGGTTGGGCCTTCCCGTTTTACAGATCAGGAAACCGGCATAAAGAAGTTCAATGACTTGCTCAAGATCAAACAGCTAGTAAGTGGAAAGCAGTCTGGCTCCACAGTCTCCCTCCTAAGTCATTGGCTCGATTATCTGTTGCTGAGTAACATACCACTCTAAAACACAGTGGCTTACAACTATAACTATTTTATTTGCTGAAAATTCTATGGGTCAGATATTTTGGCGGGACTCAGCTGGACAGATCTTCTGCTCCACAAGGCATCAACTGAGGTCTCTTGTGGATTGCAGAGGGATGGCAGCTAGGACGGGGATGTCCAGGATGGCTTGACTCACACATCTGAAGCATGGCAAGAACAGCTGGGAGGTTCCATTTGGCTCCTGCTAAAGGACTAGTTTGAGCTTCTTTTCGTGACAGCTGGACCCTGAAAGCAAGCATTCCACTCAGCAAAGGTGAATGCTGCTTATATCTGTTAAGACCCAGCCCCAGAAGTTATACAACATCACATCCACCAAATTCTATTGGGCAAGATAAGTCATGGTGCCAGCCCAGATTTGAAAATAAATAAGTTTTACTTCTTTATTAGAGAACAATGTAGCATGTGTAGAAATAACCAGTGTAGAAACTGCCACACCACCATACTGCTTTTCTAGAAAATAAGTTCACACACATTTCCAAATGACACCTCTCCAGATATTTGAAACTAGCTCTTGAGTGTCTCTGAGCCATCTGTGTTTCAGGTTAGCTTTCTTCTTCCTCCAGCTATTCCTTATGAAATGTAAAACCATCCTGTCCCTCTCCTCTGATGAGCCCCAGAAGTGAATGTCACCCTCGAGGGTGTGCCTGGGCTGCTGCAGAACAGAAGGACCATCATCTCCTGTCTTCTACATATGGATATCACATCAACTGGAATTTCTGACCAGCACGTAGCAACACATAGGAATTCTGTTACGTGAAACTCTGATCCCCCCACACTGGACTCGTGCAATTGTTTGGAGGGACCCCAGTTAAGACCACTTTGTGAGATTTGGCACAGCACTCTTACTCATCGATTCGTCTTCCGCTGTGTTCTCGGCCCTCCCAGCTTTAAGACAAACCTACTCTTGACTCATGACTTACCTCCTCCTTCCACAGCTTCTTCCAAATCACTGACAAAACTATTGGCACGCTCAGATACAATAACGAAGCTCTGGGGAACACCCCAAAAACCTCTTTCC